GTCACAAGAACGTCGAATCTGAATCACTTGAAAAAAACACGGGGGTGCTTAACTTTTTTCCAGGTGTATATTACAAGCAAACAGGATGTTGTAAAGTTTTGTTTTTATTACAAATGTATCAGTTTAAAAGCTTTTTCATAACTTAAAGCTTCTTACCTGGAAGGAGTTCTCTGTCTATGGTCTCTGTACAAGTTGGATAGGGGTAGAAAAGATAGCCCTTTTCAAGGGGGTATGGTATCATTCTAAATGCTGAAAAAAATTATCAAGCTAACATAATTTACTTGAATACATAATACATATTTTTGTATACTTTTGATACAGATCTAATGAAAAAACTTAAACCAAGCAGCCTACAAATAAACAGACACTCCTGAGAATACAAATAAACACAGTTAAAAGCCACAAAACAAAAATAGCCATGCCATAAATGAATGGAACCCAGAATAAATAGCATTTTCAAAAGGTTACATAGTAGGACGACAGTCATAGTTACCAGTCACCTTGGAAAACACCAGTTTTTACATGGCCTGGACACCCAAAACCAGTAAAACAGATTCTGTGTGATGTGAGAGCAGATGATCAACTCATACAGCTGCAACTGTTACAGGACAGGTGCATATGTGCCCAACTATCATCAGAAAATTATCTCTGTAGCATGAGTAACAGTGGCAGAATAGCTAGACCAAAGCCACTACTTGCTAGAGACAATAGCGACAGCAGTGGCCATCTCGCATGCCTGTCTGTTTGTACACACCGACAGCAGTGGCCATCTCGCCTGCCTGCCTGTTTGTACACACCAACAACAGTGGCCATCTCGCCTGCCTGCCTGTTTGTACACACCATGGCCACTGCTGTCGGTGTGTACAAACAGGCAGGCAGGCGAGATGGCCACTGCTGTCGGTGTGTACAAACAGGCAGGCAGGCGAGATGGCCACTGCTGTCACCACCTGCCTGCCTGTTTGTACACACCAACATCAGTGTATTTTTGTTTTCAAGTCTACTTAATAAATCAGATGTGACCTAGCCATTAAAACATTATTCACTAAAATACTTTATTATTGTCTCATTATGGTACAAAACCAAGTAGTTATGTAATGTACCTCAGGAGGACGGGTGTTAAAACTAATGGTACAAACCTTGGTATATCATTAATTACACAGAAAACAGGAAAGTGTACATAAATAACAAAAATAAGACACAGTCAAATCAACTAAGCTGCTTTGTTAGTAACCTGGAACGAAAAACAAGACAGAAAAAGAAAAGTAAATTTAGAGTAAAAGTCTGAACCAATCACTATCAATACAGTTAAGAGTTTGAAGCAATCACAGTCATTATCTTTACACACTACTAACCAGAGATGATAATTAACTTTATATAAGAAACAATTTCTACATAAATCACCAATTTACGGTCTAAACCTGACGTAAACACATAAAACTATCAGTGAAATCCCCTAGTGCACTCAGAACACGAGGACCTATAATATTAACACCAGGTGGAAATACAAGAGGGCAAATGGCAATTACAATGTATCCTTATTTTACTTACTTCCCTCCCATGTACAGTGGAGGAGGTTAAGAGCACCCTCTATCTTCTTCCAATGTGGGAGATGAAAAAATGCATAGGCTATTGCTTCACTGTCTCCTCTCTTGAGAATGTGTTCAGGAGGGAGTATCAAACTCTTTGTCTCTAGAAGATACTAGAAGAAAGGAAACAAGAGATACTGCCAAAACGTTTGTAAGCAATGTACTTGTCCAAAGTGTATTAGTGTTAATCCCTACTGCTGACTCAGGTACATGTACAAAGTGTACTACTGTTAATCCCTACTACTGACTCAGGTACATGTACAGGGTGTACTACTGTTAATACCTACCGCTGACTCAGGTACATGTACAAAGTGTACTACTGTTAATCCCTACTACTGACTCAGGTACATGTACAAAGTGTACTACTGTTAATCCCTACTACTGACTCAGGTACATGTACAGGGTGTACTACTGTTAATACCTACTGCTGACTCAGGTACATGTACAAAGTGTACTACTGTTAATCCCTACTACTGACTCAGGTACATGTACAAAGTGTACTACTGTTAATCCCTACTGCTGACTCAGGTACATGTACAAAGTGTACTACTGTTAATCCCTACTGCTGACTCAGGTACATGTACAAAGTGTACTACTGTTAATCCCTACTGCTGACTCAGGTACACAAGACAGTAGGAAAATCAATAGAATTTTCAATTCTTATTTACCAGAATTTTACTTTAAAGACTGATTTCATCTTTAAAATGTTCTTTTCATAACTTATACTAGAAAAGCCATACTAGTAAGTACAGACTATACATATCAGATGATACATTCTGAATATGTACTGTTAGAATTGGATCATGACTACTGTTTGGTGCAACTTTTTACAGAAGTTACACTACATAAACCATGTTAGAAAGTATACATTACATTATACATTTCACCAAACAGTAGTTATGATCCAATCCTAATTAAAGTATGTTACCTTAGGAACGTGGGGGTTAAACTCGACTGCTCGATGAATGGCCTCCACGGCGTTCATTTCCGCTGTGCTAAGCCCTCTTTTTGATGCTATGTCTGGAGAAAACCTAATCACAAATTACACGACTATTAGTAGATTCTCACAATTCTTGTACAATATAACTAACAAGCAAGTTCAAATACACTGAAGTGCTTATGTGCAAAGTATACTATAATTATCCCAAGGTAAATTCTTGAGATGAAAGACAATTCATAACTATATGGAATAAATTATTTTATCTCTTCAATTACATCGAGACAATGGAAACTGAATCTATGAAGATAAGTCTATGTCAACTGAAATAAACTTCAAAGCTTGTCTATAGCATTCCAATATAATTTCTAACTGAAATGAATTTTTAAGAACCTGCATTACACACACTTGTGCCCTGATGACAAGGACAACTGAAATAAAAGTAAGTCTGATTCATTCTGTACTATTTATTGAAATCTAACCTAGGAGAAAAAAAAATTTGAGGCCCCAGTGATCAACGTATAAATATAGATGACCAACCGAGCACAAGTTAAGAACTAAAGTAAAGTCAAGTGCAGCTCAGTCAGAAAATTAGTCAGCAAATAAAAAGGGGAAGATAGCCATCGTGCGAGTGATTAGCCAAGATGGACAATATTTTATAGTGAGTTTCACAGCTTAATAAAGATAAGGAGAATAATTTGTCTTGTCAAAGAGTGTTCTAAGGTAATTGAACCTGTCTGTGTGGACTTTCATGAAAAAGAGACAATTATTTGAAGTTCGAGATACAACTGTAGTAATCCATGGGGTAGCATAAGTGAATTATTCACTGATACTATTGTGATAAGAGTTGAGAAAAATAGTGCATATTGTCAATTGGATTTTAAAGTAACTGAATCAGCCTCAGTTGACTTTTGACAAGAAAAGAGAATTACTTAAAAGTTTTAGATACAACTGTGATGTTCAGTAATGTAGATAATTTTTGTAAATACTTTTGACTTGTTTTGAATGTAATATTTTAAAAAAAGTGGATTGTGTGCTGTCTGTTTATTGTTAGAATGCCAACAAGTCACAGACACCTACTGTAGAAGAATCCTTAGTCCACATATACATAAAATCCTGACATTTGGCGAGCCAGTCAGGATTACACAGTGGTAAATGGTGGTAGAAAAAAAGATGTGAACAACAGCAAAAATAAGTAGGCCTATATACACATAAAGGTAGTGGTAAATAAAATAGTGTAGAGATTACAATCACATTATATAACCATGTCAGGTGATTTTGATAAACAGGTAGAAAGAGGAGAGCATCTTGGATTAAAAGACAGTGAACTAGGAGAGTTTGTTAAACAACAAGAACTAGAGAGAGAAGAGAGAAAGAAAGATTAAAAGAAGAAAATAAGAGAGAAAGAATAAGAATACAAATTGAGAAAGAAGAAAGGAGGGACTAGAAACAGAGAGAATAAGAGCACAAATTGAGAATGGTCGGCTCAATTTAGCAAATAGATCAACAGTGATTGGAGTGTGTGACAAACATTGAGAGGTAATACCAAAGCACAACATGCCAGTGGGTGAAGGATATGTTGGGGACAAGAAAGTGAAGGTTCTACAATACACTGAGTACAGTAGTACAGCAGTGAGAACTAGTCTAGTATCTGATAACCAAATGACAGGCAAGGTGTGCTTGTGTGTGCTAATTGATGGGACAGTGAGAAAGATTCTCAGAGCAAAAATAAATATGGATACTCCTTATTATGATAGGAAACATACCAGATAGTAAAAATTTGGAGGAACTAGACAGAAAGAAGACTGCTGAAGCAACTTCAGTCACCAAGAGAAAAAGAGCAAGCAAGATATCAAGTTTCTAAAAGCATAAGTCCATGGGAGCAGAAGAAAGTGCAGAAAGATTTTTTTCTGCAGAGGAAATCAAGCACAAGACAAGGAGGAAAGAGACTTACAAAACAGAGAACTGAAAAGTAGTTTTGATATGGACCTATTAAAGAAGTTCTACTGAAGAAGCCAAACCCATCAAAGACAGTCAGAAACACTTCTGTAACAAGAAGACCAAGGGTCAACATTTCAAGGTCAGACAGAAGGTATTAGTTCTGTTATCCACAGCCAACAACAAACTCACCCTGCTGTGGAAAAAACGTTTTGATGTACAGAAAGTTGTCAACAAAATGGACTATAAGGTGAAAGTGAACAGGAAGCCCAAGATCTACCATGCCAATCTGTTGAAAAAGTACTTTGAGAGAGAAGAGGACTTAACAGGTGCAGCTACTGGAACAAAGATGGATCTTGAAGATCATGAGGTGAATGTTGTACCTTTAGAACTTCAGATTCTGCAATGAAGCTATCAAGGGGACTGCAAATGTTGGTACAGACTGTATGAGTAGACATTGTGGGTGAAGTGAAAACAGTCTTTGTATATAGTGTAACAAAAATATTGAAAATATTTTCCTTTAAGAGGGGCTTATTGTTGGATATACAAGGCTGCTTAGTATAAATGTTATTATTTCATTTATTTGGTGATTTAATATTTAATTTACTTTCATAACAAGACAGTTAAAAATAATTATTTTAAAGGCGATAGTTATGAGAAGTTTGGTTGTGTAGCTCTGTAAAACTTGCATGTTGTGTTTGCAATTACCTTGTTGTCTAGGCTTTACTAATATTGATTGCGTCACGTCACTCAAATCTTCGGTATTTTTCTCGTTACTTTAACAAGTATTGTTAAATTAGCTCTGTTCACATACTTTACAGAAAGTTTGAGACCTCAGTGATCAACTTATAATACAGGCAACCAAGCGAGCACAAGTTAAGAACTACAGAAGTACCAAGTAAAGTGAAGTAGGTTATATTTAAAAAAAAAACTGTAACAGCATGTTATAACAGACCCTAAACACAACAGAAAATCATTAATATTTAGTAGCATTACAAGAGGAAAAAAACAAGAAAAAATTTACTTACTTATCACTAACCCCTCGAGCCTTGAGCAGTGCAGCTGTATAACATATGGTTGCTGACTTGGGTAAACTGATATCTAAGAAACACGAAGAACAACAGTGACTGAAATTGTAAGTGAAAGACCATGAGATGAAGTTGTGTACATAATAAAGAACATGAGTGATAATTATATAATGTTTTCAAGAAATGATTTTTACAAAAACAAATTAAAACAACTTGAAGAAAAAAAAAACAAATTTCAGGGGTTGCCCACTTAAACGAATGGACTCTCCACAACAGGGAGAGTCCAGTTAAAACAATGGACTCTTACAACAAGAATAGTACAAATATTAAAAAATTTACCAAAAATAACTCATGCTTCCAATATCAACATTTAATGAATATTATAAGGTAGTTATCAGAGGTAGCTACTTCTTTAATAGCTACTAACCTAGACCAATCACAAGAATCTGCTTCTTTAATAGCTACTAACCTAGACTAACCATAGGTAGCTACTTCTTTAATAGCTCCTAACCTAGACCAATCACAAGAATCTGCTTCTTTAATAGCTCCTAACCTAGACTAACCATAGGTAGCTACTTCTTTCATAGCTACTAATCTAGACCACTCACAAGAATCTGCTTCTTTGATAGCTCCTAATCTAGACTAACCATAGGTAGCTACTTCTTTAATAGCTCCTAACCTAGACCAATCACAAGAATCTGCTTCTTTAATAGCTCCTAACCTAGACCAATCACAAGAATCTGCTTCTTTAATAGCTCATAATCTAGACTAACCATGGGTAGCTCCTTTTTTAATAGTTCCTAACCTAGACCAATCACAAGAATCTGCTTCTTTAATAGCTCTAATCTAGACCAATCACAAGAATCTGCTCCTTTAATAGCTCCTAATCTAAACCAATCACAAGAATCTGCTTCTTTAATAGCTCCTAATCTAGACCACTCACAAGAATCTGCTTCTTTAATAGCTCCTAATCTAGACCAATCACAGACAGCTGCTTCTTTAATAGCTCCTAATCAAGACTAACCATAGGTAGCTGCTTCTTTAATAGCTCCTAATCTAGACTAACCATAGGTAGCTGCTTTTTTAATAGCTCCTAACCTAGACCAATCACAGACAATTGCTTATTTAACAGTTCCTAATCTAGACCAATCACAGACAGCTGCTTCTTTAATAACTCCTAATCAAGACTAACCATAGGTAGCTGCTTCTTTAATAGCTCCTAACCTAGACCAATCACAGACAATTGCTTCTTTAACAGTTCCTAACCTAGACCAATCACAGACAATTGCTTATTTAACAGTTCCTAATCTAGACCAATCACAGACAGCTGTTTCTTTAATAGCTCCTAATCAAGACTAACCATAGGTAGCTGCTTCTTTAATAGCTCCTAACCTAGACCAATCACAGACAAATGCTTCTTTAACAGTTCCTAATCTAGACCAATCACAGACAGCTGCTTCTTTAATAGCTCCTAATCTAGACTAACCATAGGTAGCTGCTTCTTTAATAGCTTCCAGTTAGTTGCAACCATTTTTGTTATGTAGCATGTTACCTACTATCATGCTACAAGTATGACCCACGATCATTAGTTAGCTGCAACCATTTTTATTGTGTTCGATGTCACTGTTGTTCTACAAGTAGTATACAGATACTGATCCACGATCATTAGTTAGTTGCAACCCTTTTTTGTTGTGTTCCACGTCACCTACTATTATATCATGAGTCGCAGACAAATACTGACCCTCGATCATCAGTTAGCTGCAACTATATTTAGTTGTGTTGCATGTCAACTACCATGGAAATACATAACATATGATTCTACTAGTTGCAGACAAATACTGACCCATGATCCTCAGTTAGCTGCAACTATATTTAGTTGTGTTGCATGTCAACTACCATGGAAATACATAACACATGATTCTACTAGTAGCAGACAAATACTGACCCTCGATCATCAGTTAGCTGCAACTATATTTAGTTGTGTTGCATGTCAACTACCATGGAAATACATAACATATGATTCTACTAGTAGCAGACAAATACTGACCCATGATCCTCAGTTAGCTGCAACTATATTTAGTTGTGTTGAATGTCAACTACCATGGAAATAAATAACATATGATTCTACTAGTAGCAGACAGATACTGACCCATGATCCTCAGTTAGCTGCAACTATATTTAG